CGCAATGCCGGCATATTGCATCGAAGAACCGGCATTCCGACCGCGGGTGCTCGCCGCCGCAGCCAGCGCACTGGAACTTTGATTTTTGGTTCCGTGGTTCGCGCCGGTCGCGCCCCGTCTGCAGCCGGTGGATGTCTTCCAAGTCATCTTCCGAGTCAAAGGGGGATTCGAGGTCGCCGTGGTGCGTGGATGCGGCCGCTCGGTGGTTGGTTTCGGCCCGATTCTTGGGGGTCGCAGTCGTCTCGGCCATGGCGGGCCGCTCCGCGGTGCTGGCCTGCCGCAATTGGGCCGCTGATTTCTGGGTCGCCTCTGCTGCGGTGGCTTTGGCAAGGGCGTTGGCGAGGGAGATGTCGCCCTTTGCCATGATCCGACTCTGTAGGACGGGGTCCCTGAGGCTGAGGACGACGCGGTCCCGCAAGGCTTCATCGAGATCGGTGAACCCGCACAGTCCCCCGAGGTCCCTGAGGTCAGCCACAAAGTTGCTGACACTCTCACCTTGCTTCTGGTCGCGGCGGTAGAACTCGTGCCGGTGGATGAGGGTGGGCACGGCGGGCACGTAGTGGCTTCTCAGCAGCGGTTCGAGATCGGCCCAGTCCATGGCTTTCACGTCGAGAGGTTTGGCGAGGGCTTTTGCCATTTTAAACACTGCTGGCCCGCAGTGCGTGAGGAAGACGGCTCGTTTTCTCTGCCCGTTCGCGTCCTTGAGGTTGCTACTCTCCAAGAACATGAGGAATCTGTCTATGTACGATTCCCAGTCCTCCGTAGCTTGGTTGAAGGGAGCGGGTGGCACGTTGCCGCTGGCCATGTTGCCGATTGCGGTTCCGTGAGCCACTTGCGGTGTGGGACTTGTTTTAAAATCCCACCCTCGTCGCCAGTGTCGTATCTCTCATACGAACAAAGGACGCGAGGCAGTGACTCAGTTCAGCTCTTTATTCGGGGTAAAACACAAGTGGGGTGAGTGGGGAAGAAGCGCGGCTTAAAAGCATTTTCTGCCGAGTGCTGCGGCCAATCGGGTCGTTTTGAATCGCCCACGATCGGCTCAGCCAATCGCGGCCAATTCCAAACGACCAATCAGTGCCGCGCACTCAGCCAATCCGGTGGCCATGCGCTTTAGCCAATCCGGGCTGCCGGATTTCGAGTATGTAAATGTCTGTACAGAACACTAATCTTCACCTGTTTGTCCAGTGTAGGGGCTGTTGCAAAGATGACTCCTGGGGTTGCTGGGCCTTTTGGTTTACTTAGGATGTTTTGGAGGACTTTATTTGGTTGATCAGCAGACAAAAGACATGATGAAAACTCCCAGAAATCAACACCTAGATAAGCAGAGATTAATACCAAGATTAAGCAATGCCCCAATCAAGGAGCTGCCAAATAAGTTAACAGAAAGGAGGCCAATCAAAGAACCCCAAGACCACTCCCACCAACACTGACAGTGCAAGCTTCTAGAACAGGGGTCCTGTTGTGGCTGTCAGCCGCTGGCCCCTCCAGCAGCCAAATCAGATGAGGAGGCAGTGTGGGAGTCAGGGCCAGCATCAAGGCAATCTGAGAACTCTGAGGGGGAAGAGGGAATGGAGCTGTCAGAGATAGAGACAAAGGTGGAGCCTGGGCCATCCATCAGCCCTCAGATGGAGAGGTGACAGCTCCCAGGTCTGAAGATGGCTGATGTGGAAGAGCAGGAACAGCTGGGTTCAGTGCCTGATACACAGAAGGCAGAGAAGAAGAGAGCAGCAGGATTCTATGACCAAGTCCTTGGGACAGAAGAGCCACTGCTGCTAGCGAAGCCCCACCTGAGGATAAAAGACAGGGGGCGGAGATGAATAGGTCTGGTCATCTCCCTGCCGGTCAGCATTCTTAGC